GGCCAAGAAGGTTAAGCGATTTGCCCATGGTGAAATAGTGGCTAGAGTGCCAGCTCTGGAGTCAGGGAGCCCATCTTCCTGAGCTCAAATCTGGTCTCAGATACCTATTAACTGTATGACCCTGGGCGAGTCACCTGTCACAATTTGCCTCAATTTTTTCATCTGTAAAATGAACTGGAGAAGGAAATAACAAACCACTCTATCATCTTTGCCAAGAAAACCCCAAATAGGGTCACAAAGAATCAGACACGACTGAAATGACTGACAACAACAAGAAAGGCTAGTGTGCAAATCTAGGCCTTCTGTTTGGAAGTGCCACCATATTTTCAGTATCTTGTACTTTCATCTCAATATTGGATTCATGTTTCCTATCTAAGAGTTTTGACTAGTGAACTATTGATGATGTGCACCTTTAGGAATGACTTTCCTACAATTCCCTGTCCAAATTATCCAAAGGATGACTGATGGCATTTATATGCAACAGAACTCTCTCCTTGCAGAGCTTTCTCTAGGATAACTAATTCTAGGAAAGGAGGTTCTAACAAGTTTAACATATAAGCAGAAAGAAAACATTAGGTCCAAGTCTGCCTAAAAATTTTTCTGCAATATATTAAAAAATTGAAATCGAAGACTCCCAAATCAGAGTTGCCTAATCATTCTGAGCCACAGATATTAAAAGATCTCTGAAGAGAGTCAAAAATGACAGAGACATAGACAGGAGATAAACAGAGAGACACAGAGAAAGACAGAGGAACAGAGATACAAAGACAGAGACACAGAGAGAAACAGAGAGAGACAGAAACAGAGAGACCAAGATTAAAAAGGGCTATTATTACATTTAAATGTTTGTAGGAAAAGAACATCTCCTTTTTCCTTATAGAACAGTATCAGTATATGATTTAAGTATTTGCAAAAGCATCGTAAAAATATGTATGTAAAATATGATGTCAGGGGATAGGATTGGACTTGGAATCAAAATGACCTAGGCTCAGATCTTTCATTTGACATGTCCTACCAGGTGACTCTGGCTGAGTCTTTTTACCTCCATGTAACATTCCCTTGGATTTACCTACAAAGTCACAGAGAAGTTGTTATCTGAGTTTGTGGGGGCAATTCCTACAAGGGAAGTTCCTCAGGCTGCCAAAATAATCTAATAATCTTATGTTTTCATGTTCAGATATGCCTAGAAGCATAACTCTGAAAAGCAGTATGGGCATAGTGGATTAGAGATCTGCCTTCAAGGCCAGGAACATCTGGGTTCCCCCTCCAACACATATTGGTTGTACATCCCTGGGCAAGTTGCTTAGCCTCTGGGTTGTAGAAAGCTCATTTTTTACCCTAAATAACTCTTTAAGACCACAAGTTGCAGGAAAGGTATTGATTTGTATTGGTAGAAGGAGTTTTCTTAGCTGGGAGTTCCCTTTATTATCAAAGTCACAAGTTGTGTCCCTATCTTTATTCTGTAATCACCACAAATTGTTGTGATGCTATTAAGAAGAACTAGAATCACTTTCTAAAATGAAAAAAAGTCTGGAGAGAAAATAATTAGCAATTTGATTATTGTTTTGGGTTACCATAAGGATAATACTTACTACCCAAGAACAACAAATTAGAATTTACTCAATTTCATTAATGACCGGTCAAGGGGTAAAATGTGTCGTTTCTATTGCTAGAGTTTAACAATTATAAATCTTATAAGATTGTAAAGACAACCAAGAAAACATAATCCATTCCATTTTATCTGTGACATAAATTGTTTTCTCATATTCCATTGCGCAGCTGGAATAAAGTACATTCCTGTAGGATATACAATGAAAGCTCAAATATCTGTAACCTACCCATAAATGAATCTTATTTTTTTCACTTAGTAGATAGAATTACGATCTATGATATTTATTAAATCTTGGGAAAAATATCTGAATGACTGATGAGCAGGAAAAAACCACGCTCATTAAATATGATTTCATGGACAAAACATTATCCTACTTGCATATACAATCAGGTAAGGGGAAACAGATATCACTCATGTTACATGAACCTGAAGTCTACCTTTTATATGAATAAGAAATTATTATTATTTTTAAGTAACACATTCTATCATCCATTCACTATTTCCAGGAAAGAAAATGTTATTTTTTTCTAATATTACTTTCATGTTTAGAAGCCCAAGTCCTTTCCAGAATCTAAAGTGAATAGTATTTTAAGCTCTTAATCCCAATTCTTTTTTTTCCCTCCATAATTGTAAGAGGATCAAAAACTTTTATAAGAGAATAACCAGGAAACAACTGAAGTTTTACAGAATGACTGGTTTAAGAGGCACTCACAGTATCAAGGGAAACCCAGCAAATCTTCCCTTTATATGTAAAGCTTTTCTGTGTTGTGAGTTCTGTGATATTCATAGATCTCATACAGACAGTGTAATGCTGCATTGGAACTATTATGTGCTGTGTCAGTCAGATAAATCCCCTCTTTGCTACTTGGAATCATACACCACCAAGATATTGTTACAAGAATGGTTATCAAATTTGAAGAAAAAGTATCTCAACATCATCGTTGAGAAACCATTTTAGTTCTTCCAATTCAGAGCAATTATGAAAGTGATTGGGAGTGTGCAAGACAGACTCTTTCAATGGAAATGTCAACAGGTCTTCATATCAAAAAAGAGTGTGAGAAATGTAGCTTTCTAATTCTAGGAGTTTGTGCCAATATTTTCGACCCTGCACATTAGTAGTTTGCTCTGTTTATTCCTTCTTCACTGAAAAGCATATATAGGTGAGGGTAAAGGGATCAATTAGATTTTCAACTCACTTTAGACCAAGAATAAGTGTGACTGAAAAAGCAACTGAATTCCTGAGCTGGTCAGCAAAGGCAGCTTTGTGAGTACAAATGAAAAAAAAAATGAAAATAGGACCACTGAGTAGTAGATCAGCACAGCCTGTTTTCCATTTGAATTTTTTTCAGGTGGAAGATGCAAGTATAGATACACATAAATGATAGCAGACCTTTAAATGAGACCAGTGTGGGTAAAGGGCTTAGCATTAATAATCTATGAGATTTATACAAACTTGTTTAGACCACAACACCAGCAGACTGCCTTTAGGTGGTTGTTGTTGAGATCTCTGTTACTTGGGAGCTGAGGGAGAGAAAATTGGAAGTGAACTTGATTTGCCTTTTGGGGGGACATTTTGTAATACATGGTGTGACTGAATCTGTGCAATCAGAATAAGGTACTTCCCTATATAAAGATCAGGGTAACTTCAAAATAGAAATAGGATTTTCCTTATTCAGAAGAAAAGTAGATAACTCATACAGAGTATCACTGAAGAAAAACTTAGGGAGGAGAAGGTCTATTTCATTGGTATGAGACAATCCTAGGTAAGGAAATACCCTCTTCCAGTGCAACTTGGAGTTGTAGCTTTAAGGGACTTTTTCAGAGTCACATAGCTGGGAGATGTTGGAGGCAGAAGTTCCTGGCTTTGAAGACAATAATCTAGCTAGATATTATAGCACGCTGCCTTTCACAACAAAGCCTACTCACATAAGAGTATTTCCTTAGCTCTGCCTTCCCCTCCTACCTGACTTGAAATTTCAACTAAGAGAGTTACTCTTCCATGTTAGACAATAGGCAAACTAAGATAGGGAGTGAGTATAGTGCTATTCATGTATTTCTGACTAAAGGCACCCTGACCTCAGCCCTCAGAGGTCACCTAACTCATTTTATGGCTCATACAATTGATCCCTGGAAAGGTTAAATGACTTACCATAGGTTACACAGGTTGTAAAATGGGGAAGCTAGAATTCAAATCTAGGACCTTTGACCTGACATATACTGCTCTTTCCACTGTGCTATACTGACTGCACCCAGTTCTCATCTTAGCTCTGCCGCATCAGCCATATGACCTGAGGTAGATGACTTAAACTTTTTTATCTCTGCTGATCTGTAAATGGAGACATTCAGACAATATGATCTCTTAGTTATCTTGTTGTTGTCATTGTTGTTGTTGAGTTGTGTCCAACTCTTTGTGACCCCTTCTGGGCTTCTTTTTTTTTTTTTTGGCAAAGATACTGGAGTGGTTTTCCATTTCCTTCTCAGATTATTTTATAGATGAGTAACTGAGACAAACAGAACTAAGTGACTTGTCCAGGGTCATGCAGCTGGCAAGTGTCTGCCAGGTTCCAAGTCCAGTGCTCTATCTACTGTACCACCTAGCTGTCCCAAGGCCTCTTCTAAGATCCTATAATTCTCCCTTGATCACCTCTAGATCAATGTTAAAATGCTTGTAATCTGAGAGGTAAAGGAGAATTCTAAAAATCCAGTTGTTGTTGTTGTTGCTGTTGTTTTTTTTTTGCTTTTATCAATTACCACCTTATCAAAGATTCCTTTACTTGATCAATTAATTTTCAGCTTGAAAGGCATAGAAATCTTATCTCTAGGAAGGTGGAAAACACTCCCAGTAAATTTCAATGAAGGTCCAGGAATTGCCATGGACAGAGTCCATGGAAAAGATTGGTGAAGGTGGTCCATATTAATTATACTACATTTCTTTTGTTTTTGCCATCAATAAGAAATTTACTTTTTAAAATAATCCAAATGCTGGCATTGTCCAGAAAAATTTAACAGGTTTATTTATAATTGTTATGAAGTTGAATCATTGAAACTTGTTCAGGGGAACATTTTTTTGACCACGTGAATGCTTTATGTCCTAGCATTTATATTCAAAATTCACACACAAATGACAATGGAAAAAACAAAACAAAACAAAACAAAACTTGCCAATACCTGATTCTGTCCCCTATTTTTCCATTTGCTATCATATTCTTAGGTACCTTTTGACCCCATGGGGGGAAATATATATATATATATATATACATACACACACACATATATATAATGTGTGTGTGTGTGTGTGTGTGTGTGTTTTATTCAGAACTACCAATAACAGGAATAAGAAATTTTTTTCTGTTTTGAGAATGAAGAATGTTTCCCATCACAGTGGAGTTTAAGCACGTTCTCCACGTATGCGGCATGCTAGCTGGATATCTTTTGGCATGATTGCGACACGTTTGGCGTGGATAGCACATAGGTTGCTGTACTCAAACAAGACAACCAGATAGGCTTCACTTGCCTCCTGCAAAGCACCAACTGCTGCACTCTGGAAGCACAGATCTGTTTTGAAGTCCTGAGCAATTTCACGCACCAGACGCTGGAAGGGAAGTTTACGAATCAGAAGTTCAGCGGACTTCTGATAACGTCTGATTTCAAGGAGAGCCACACTACCCGGCCTGTAGCAATGAGGTGTCTTGATCCCTCCAGGAGGGGTGCACCCTCGCGAGCGGCTTTTGTAGCTAGGGGCTTTACCACCGGTGGATTTGCGGGTGGTTTGCTTGGTACGAGCCATGTTCCTGAAAACTTCTCCTTATAAACCACCCCTTCTCTTTCGGCTTGGGCTGGGAGAGCGAGAGGCGGCCCTAGCACTGGACAGCTGCGGCTGCTGCGAACACAATTCTACTTCATTTTTCCATCAGTTATCTTTCCTCCCACTGTAAACTATTAAGGAAGCAATAACCACAAAAGCACCTAGCAAAATAATTCCAACTAAATAAACACATTTTGGTCAAACAGACAGGTATTTCATGGGGAAATATTATAGGATCACATATGGAGTTAGAAGGGACCTCAGAGACCATCTTATCCAAATCCATCATTATACTGAAAAGGAAGTACTGAGGTCCGTGGAAGTTAAATGAAGTTTGACTGTGAAAGTGAGAAAAAGTTAAAGGTAGTTTGAGGGTATGATAGAGTTAAGTGTGAAGTTTTTGTTTTAAAACTAGGAGAGTCAAGAAGTATGTTTGAAGGTATCTGGAAGGAGCCTGCACAGGCATTCTTGCAGATAATTTGGCAAGGGATGAAATCAGTGACACAAGCAGAGAGGATGACTTTTGCAAGGTGTGAGACAAAGAAAAGATCTAGTTTCAATTCTGGCCTCTGATACCTACTGACTCTGTGACCCTGAGTAATTTTCACTTAATCACCCTGGTCCCCAGAGTTTCTTCACATCAAAATGAGAAGGTTCACTAGTTAAGATTATGTGACATAAATTAATGTCAGTTAGGTGGTGCAGCTGATGGAGTGCCAGGCCTGGAGTCAGAAAAACTCAAATCTGGCCTCAGATACTTATTAGCTGTGTGACCATGGGCAAGTCACTTAACCCTATTTGGTTTAATTTCCTCATCTGTAAAATGAGATAGAGAAGGAAATAGCAAATCACTCCAGTATCTTTGCCACGAAACCCTGAATAGGGTCATGAAGAGTCAGATACCACTGAAATGACTGAATAATAAAAGTCTTAATTAACATAGGTACTGACTTATTCCAGTAGATCTCAGTAAGTATTATTGTCCCCTGGACTTTAAATCCAGGACTCTTTACACTATAATAATCTTTCTCTATGAGAATGACCAAAAAAAAAAAAAGAGTTTACCAAAAGACTATAATGTGTGGCACTACTTACTACTTGTGTAACCTTTGTCTGGTCACAACATATTTCTGAGCCTTTTAAGATCTTGATTTTGAAATGAGGCTCTTGAACTAGCTGATCTCTAAGGTCTTTTTTTATCTGTAAAATCCACAATCTTATATTTTTCCCCTTTAGTAACTGATATCCAGAAGTGATAGAGATAAAGGGGAATAGAAGATAAAAGAGAGAGAGAACAAATGATTAAAGGGGGCAAGCTCCCAGAGGAGAACAGAAGGGATGGGATAAAGGGAAGGAGTCTATGAATCCTCCAATATATCTGACTGCTCTTTCTCAGAAGCACTTGGTGGATCATCATCTATATTCTGGCTCTAAAGGATGAATGTTCTTCAAACACTTTCTCCTGCATTCCATTTCTGTCTTAGAGTTAACTGAAAATATTGATGAACCTATCAGGCCACCTAACATAAGGGTTTACTGGTGACAAGATGCTCTGTACTCCTTGAATAAATAGAAGGATCATTCCACATATATACATATCATTGTAAATTTGAGATATTTTATTTAGCATGGTTTAACAAAAATATTTAAGTATCTTCTTGTTTCCTCAAATACACCTAAAGGAAATACTTCAGAGGTGATCATTGCCCCCAGTGAGTACTCTCATATCACACCATTGTACCCCATCTTTACCATGTTCCTTTACTTGCCGATGATATAACTTCATGGTGTTTTTTTAGCCTTTCCAAGTTAAGGTCTCTGTACTTTGTATAGTGATAATAAGTCAAAAGGAGAGACAGATTAGAAGGCAAAGAGGAGGATGGGAGGAAGGTAGGAGAGGAGAACTAGAAGAGAAGAAAGATAAAGATATTTTAAAATCTATCAAGCTATAGGCCTTTAATAAGTGCTTATTATGATATGAATTAGACCCTATGGTAGGAAATGAGGAAATATAGGTATATAGATATATACACATATGTTTATATTATGTGTAGCTGTATGTATATAATATATATTTTATATTGCTTGTGTGCATATATGCCTGAAAACATACACATATATGTTTATATTTATTTATATACATATTTATTCATATCTGCATATGAAAAGGAAATAATCTCCACCTTTAAAGATATTCTAAACATTTCAATTAAACAATTATTAGGAACCTGCTATGTATGAATTATTAAGCCAAGAACAAATTTGAAAATGCACAATAAATAAGATGAAAAAATATTAATAACATTGCTTTTCTGTATTGGTGGTTGGGAATAGATCAATTCTGAAAATTGTAATAACATTTTCCCTCTCTTAAGAAAACATTGAAAGAAAAGTAGAGGTCAAATCCAAATGCCAATCTGGGTTGGCATTCTAGAGCCACAACTTAATAGCTTTGCAAATGTAGACAAATCCCTTAACTTCTCTAAGTCCCAATTTCCTCATCTGTAAAACGAGCATGGTCATTTCTACACAAGCTAACTCAGGTACTGTGATATATGGACACAATATTCACAACAAAAAAAGTCAATGAATTTTTTTGAAGTGATCCTAACCAAAGTAACTAAGTCAAATTAATTTCTAAAAAAAAAATCATTAGAAATAAGTAAGTTCTAAAAAAAAATCATTAGAAATAAGATGACACTAATTCCTTTTTAGGTTTTTCCATAATTTTATCTTCATGCAGTAGACCAAAAATCATTATACTAAAGATCACAAACTTGGAGAAATCACTTAACTGTTCTCCATATCCAAAATGGATAGAGGAGGTAGAGCCAAGATAGCAGATTAGAAGGAAATACAAGAAGTTTCTCCCTCTAAATAAATAAATAAATAAATAAACAAACAAACAAATAAATAAATAAATAAATGAACAAGTAAGTAGATAAATAAATACAAATAAAACCTCCTTGAAATGTATCTAGAAAACACAGTAGACTGGGGAAATCCAAGAAAAAGCCACAGACCAGATCATTATAGGTATGTAGGCAAAGAACTCTGTGAACTCTGGGGAAGGAATCTAGCAAAGGGCAAAAATCCATGGCAGACTGAGAAGCGTACCTGCATCTAGGGGTGGTGTTCCATGATAAGAACCTGTTACAGGCCTTAGCAAGGTACTGAGTGAGGAGAAAATTCAGAAACCAGCAGCATCAGTGAGACTCAGATCTCTGTAGCAGAGTGGGGTCTCAGTTCAAAAACCTAGACCAGTCTGAAGCCTGTGCATGAATCCTATTGCCTAGAGGCAGTTCTGTCACTCTGAATCAGCACTTTCCCAGATGGCTGATAGTAGCTGATTCCAGCAGCATTCTCCTGTTGCTCATACTCAGGTCAGAAATTTATAGAGCTCGGTTTTGTGTGTGTGTGTGTGTGTGTGTGTGTGTGTGTGTGTGTGTGTGTG